ACCCGTAGAATTGCACGCGATTTCAAGGCGAGATCTATAGCAGTAGCAGTTGGACTTATATACCGCTTCATGGCGCTTTCAGCCCTCTCTAAGCGGTTTTCAGAATCAACATATCGCCCCCAACAACAATCCGGGTCCTCATTTTACCCACCTCGGAAGGATGGAAGGCTGAGTCAACCTTGAGCCGGTGAGATTAGAACCCCCGAACTGCAGCTAGCAGTCAGCTGAAGCTGCCTGCGGTACTGCACTCTAACCACTGCGCCACCTCGGCTCTAGGTTGGACTGCCATTTGTCTGGGAGGGTGGAAGGTGTCCTGCTTTGAGAAGAACTTTGTATCAGAAGACCCCCCCCAAAGACCCTCCTGGCTTTGTGATTCTCTTACGCCGTGAATTAACATTTCACTGTGACGGGTGAAATAGGGCCATCGTTCCATCATTCCCACTGCTAAGATGGATTCTTTGTGGTTGCCATGTTTTTTTGCTGTTTGTTTGAATAATAATAGAGCCTAAATCAGCATAATGGACCGGGTTTCATCGAGCTGTTTTGTCTCAATGCCTAGGTTGAAATGAATACGACCGTCCCAGGACCCGAAAACTGCACCTCTTCGGGACTTTGCTGGACCAGTGGAAATATGACCTGGACCCTCAAAAACGTGACGGAAACCCAGAATCTTGAGAAATGTAAGGGGAAGGGGCTGCCTTAAGCCTTCTCTAAAGAGAGAAGGCCCGTTTCTCAAAACAAGAGGTGGCCAGGGGCTGCGCTGGGAAAACGTCAGGCTGGAGAGAGGGCTCACCCCATCGCAATAGCGGCCCAAGTATCTCTGAGCGTTGATCATGGGGAAGCCGCAACAGTCACAGGGGTGGAGGGGGGGAAATGGCCGTAAGTCCCTTCGTCCTGCGCTGTTGTAACTTTGAACGGCCACCGAAGGAACTGTGGTGCTTTATGAAAGTGCAATTTGATAAGTGTCCGAATTAATGCTAACTCGCTTACTTAATTGATTAGTAATTAATTAATAATACTTTTTAATCTACACTGAGAGCATATGCACCAAAGACAAATTCCTTGTGTCACACTTGGCCAATAAAGAATTCTATCCTATCCTATCCCATTCCATTCTTTCATTCCTCTATTCTATTCTATTCCATTCCATTCCATTCCATTCTCTTTTTTCTATTCTAATTCTAATTCTATTGTCTCTTCTCTTCTCTCTACTCTACTCTACCCTACCCTCCCCTACTCTATTCTAATTCTATTCCATTCCACCTTACTCCACTCCACTCCATTCCTTTCTCTTTTTTCTATTCTATTATCTATTCTTTCTTCTCTTCTCTTCTCTAATTCTATTCCATTCCACTTCACTCCACTTCATTCCATTCCATTCTCTTTTTTCTATTCTAATTTTAATTGTATTGTCTATTCTCTCTCCTCTCCTCTCCTCTTCTAATTCTAATTCTAATTCTAATTCTAATTCCATTCCACCTTACTCCACTCCACTCCATTCCTTTCTCTTTTTTCTATTCTATTATCTATTCTTTCTTCTCTTCTCTTCTCTAATTCTATTCCATTCCACTTCACTCCACTTCATTCCATTCCATTCTCTTTTTTTCTATTCTAATTTTAATTGTATTGTCTATTCTCTCTCCTCTCCTCTCCTCTTCTAATTCTAATTCTAATTCCATTCCACTCCACTCCAATCCAATCCATTCCATTCCCTTTTTTTCTATTCTAATTCTAATTGTATTGTCTATTCTCTCTTCTTTTCTCTTCTCTGTTCTATTCTATTTTCTATTCTAATTCTAATTGTATTGTCTATT